AATGCAGCTGCAAGGCTTTGATCTCTGCTGGTTTAGCATGTGGTGTGAATGCAGCCAAAATCCCACACCAAACTGGGCAGTTAACTCTTCTGCAATACAAGTTGTTCAAGGAGACACAGCTTTTGAAGAGGAAGAATCAAATAAAGGCAGAATTATTTGTTTACACCCTGTGCTGCCTCTCATGAGTCCCTTCTCTTCACTTTTAAGGGTGTGCTTAATAATAATAATAATAATAATAATAATAATAATAATAATAATAATAATAATAATAATAATAATAATAATAATAAAGTTGGAAGGGATCTTGGAGGTCATCTAGTCCAACTCCCTGCTCAGGCAGGAAACCCTATACCATTTCAGACAAATGGCTGTCCAGTCTCTTCTTAAAAACTTCCAGTGTTGGAGCATTCACAGCTTCTGGAGGCAGGTTGTTCCACTGGTTAATTGTTCTCACTGTCAGGAAGTTTCTCCTTAGTTCCAGGTTGCTTCTCTCCTTGATTAGTTTCCATCCGTTGCTTCTTGTCCTGCCTTCAGGGGGTTTGGAAAATAGCTTGACTCCCTCTTCTTTCGGGCAGCCCCTGAGATATTGGAACACTGCTATCATGTCCCCCCTTGTCCTTCTCTTCGTTAAACTAGACATACCCAATTCCATCAGCTGTTCCTTATGTTTTAGCCTCCAGTCCCCTGATCATCTTTGTTGCTCTTCTCTGCACTCTTTCTAGAGTCTCAACATCTTTTTTACATCGTGGTGACCAAAACTGGATGCAATATTCCAAGTGTGGCCTCACCAAGGCATTGTAAAGTGGTATTAACCCTTCATGTGATCTTGATTCTATCCCTCTGTTAATGCAGCCCAGCACTGTGTTGGCTTTTTTGGCAGCTAACGCAACCGGCTGGCTCCTATTTAAGGGATTGTGCACTAGGACTCAGAGATCCCTCTCACAGTTGCTACTATTGAGCAAGTTAACTTGACTGACAGTTATTCTATCATTCTTCTTTTACCACTATGTTCCGTTGGTGTCTCCTTCAGGCCTCTAAAGTCCCCAACCTCTGGACTGTGGATCAGCACTGCACTGTAGCCTGTTAGGAACCGGGCCACACATCTGGAGGTGAGTGGTGAACAAGCGAACCCTATTGTAAACTGTGTGTGTGTGGGATCTAGGTTGCACACTCTTCTCCCTCACCGGTTCTTGGAAAAATTGTCTTCCCTCAAACCAGTCTCTTCCCTCAAACCAGTGCCAAAAAGATGCATAACTGGCTGAGGAATTCTGGGAGTTGAAGTCCACAGCTCAGAAAGTTGCCATGGTAGCTCATCCCTGCCTTAAGGCAGGGGTCTTCAAACCTGGCCCTTCTTATGACTTGTGGACTTCAACTCCCAGAATTCCTCAGCCAGGCACACTGACTGAGGAATTCTGGGAGTTGAAGTCCACAAGTCATAAAAGGGCCAAGTTTGAAGACCCCCAGCTTGTGGACTTCCCAGAATTTCTCAGCCAGACACGCTGGCTGAGGAATTCTGGGAGTTGAAATCCACAAGTCATAAAAGGGCCACGTTTGAAGACCCCCTGCTTGTGGACTTCCCAGAATTCCTCAGCCAGGCACGCTGGCTGAGGAATTCTGGGAGTTGAAATCCACAAGTCATAAAAGGGCCACGTTTGAAGACCCCCTGCTTGTGGACTTCCCAGAATTCCTCAGCCAGGCACACTGGCTGAGGAATTCTGGGAGTTGAAGTCCACAAGTCATGAAAGGGCCAAGTTTGAAGACCCCTGCCCTAAGGCTTTGACCTCATCTATCTTCAGAAATGGATGCTTCACCCACCCTCTGAGTCTCCCAGGCCACTTACAACCCTCCCAATAAAAACAACAGGGCCATTATAGAAGAACACTGACTTTAATTAAACCGTGATATAAAATGTTTAAGGCAAACCTCGGTCAAAACCATCTTTTTGTTTCCAGCACTAAGAACACAAAACAAAAAAGTGGGGTTTTGGGGTTTTGGGGTTTTGGGGTTTCCCCCCCCCCTCCCCCCATCTTCACTGACTCAGTTACAGCCATCCATTTTGGAATTGCGCTTCAGTCCCATGAAGCTCTTTTTAAAAAAAGAGAGAGAAAAAAAGTATAAAGTTTTATTTTTTTTAAAAAAAAGATTATATAAAAGCACACACCATTTTGACATGAGAAAAGTATAAAACAATAGCACCAATGTAGTTGAACATCTTGGGAATGACATTTCTGAAACAGTCTCTTTAAAATGCCGCAAAAAAGGTGGTTCTAGTAGGGCAGGGGCCTTCCAACTTGGCCCCGTTTATGACTGGTGGACTTCAACTCCCAGAATTCCTCAGCCAGGCACGGTGGCTGAGGGATTCTGGGAGTTGAAGTCCACCAGTCATAAAAGGGCCAAGTTGGAAGATCCCTGTATTATGGCTACTTCCAAGAGGCAAGATCTCTTATATTTATTTTTAATATTTTCTTAAGAAACCAGAAGGGATCAAAGAGAAATCTTGCTGGATGAAAGATGAAAGATTTGCTACACTCTTAAAAGGGGGGTGAAGGAAGAGAGACAAAAAGGCACATAAAATGGCTGCCTACCAGCACCCACATTTTCACCCCTATCCCCTGAACCTCCCTCGCCCCCCAAATAGGGGAGGGGGGGAGTGCGGGCTGCAGAGAATTCCCCATTGACCCCATTCCTTTGCTTAATTAAGGCAGGGGTCTTCCAACTTGGCCCTTTGATGACTTGACCCACTTGGCCCTTTTATGACTTATGGACTTCAACTCCCACAATTCCTCAGCCGGCGTGCCTGGCTGAGGAATTCTGGGAGTTGAAGTCCACAAGTCATCAAAGGGCCAAGTTGGAAGACCCCTGGCGTAAAAGGCATGCAAACTTCTTTCAGGGGACCAAGGATTCGGTTAACAAACTCAAACCAGCAAACACACCTAACCTATAACACAGTCACGATTGTCCCACACCCAGCGGTATCAGCAACGGCACACGCGCATGGATGCACAACAACACACACACGCCACCCAGTTCGGGCAGGGCTTTCAGTGGCTCAGGAAACGCGACGGGCATCTTTCCAAGGAATCTCTGCTTCTGCCCTAAATTACTGGCATTCGTTTTTGAGGGGCGCTTCCTGATCCCTGAGACTTGACATTCCAAGCGGAGTAGGATCCCTTGGGGTGCCAACAGCTCCAGAATTGCAGCAGGACTATTTTAACCGGCAGCCAAGAGGTGGGCAGAGAGGCAGGCTAACAGCTTGGGCACATTTTGCCCGTTGATAATGTCGGAGAATGTGAAGCGGCAACCTCAAATACTGACAAGGGAAAAGGGAGGCCGCAAACAGCTCCCCCCGCCCCATTTGCCCGCAGGGAAACACATCAAACCGGAGCTGTGATGGCTCTCGACAACTGTCCATCTTCCTCTGTGGCTGACCTTAAGGAACTTTGCTGACAGATTTGACCGTCTGCAATGCCAAGTGGGTGTCCGGCAATCCTGACACCCAAGCCAAGTCTCCTATCCTATCTTTGACGGAAAGTTGGAATTTGGTTCGAGAACAACACGGGCACCCCTGGTTTCTGCCCATGTGTAGAAAGAGGGTTTGCTTCTCTGTTTTTTGGACAGACATCCTGGTTGCAGAGAATGAAACTATGTCCCCTGCACCGATTGACGTGGTTTGGTTCATACAGACACCAGGAAGCCCCGAGTAGGGCATGGATGGCCTCAGTGCAAACATCGGTGTTCAAGATTGTGGCAACGGGTAGACACTAGCAAGCAGAAAGACCCTATTAAACCCCTTTATCCCCCAGGTGGCGGCATCCATTCTACCCAACTCTTATCCTGGTCTAATGAAATCAGGGTTTGAAGGATGGGCAGTCAAGGAAAACAATCCAGCTTCACGATGGAAATAGCAGCATCGGTGAGGATCGAAGTTCACTGGGGGTCCAAACAAGGCAACGAAGCGAACAGGCTGGAGAATCTGACAGCAGCTTTCAACTTTCTTTCTTTCTTTCTTTCTTTCTTTCTTTCTTTCTTTCTTTCTTTCTTTCTTTCTTTCTGCAAATGGGTCGGATTCTTCGCAGAAAGAAGCCAAAACCGCAGCAAAACAGTTGTAGATTTGTCTTTTCGGGTGGTGCGGTGGGTTTTTCGCTGCCTGTTGGGAATTTCCCTGCCTCTGAAGGGACCACGGTCGTGCAAACTGTTCTTGCACAGCTCTTTAAAATGAAAAAAAAAAGGAAAGAAATACCCAGCCAAAAAATTAAAACGGGTTGAAGGCGATAAGTGTCCTTGGCAGTAAAAATGCCCCAAATGCATTTTTGTCTGCATTAAAGGCATCGTGTAATTTTAAAAGTGAAAGAGATGCACGGAATATGTATGGCACGTTTTTTTTGTTTTGTTTTGTTTTTTTCCTTCCCCATTTTGCTCCATGTAGTAGAATTATCACCCGGCTTGCATCCAGCCCAAATTCCTCTCTAGGAATTTTCACAGCGTCCCAAGAAAAGGGCTGTAAAAGTCTCTCTCCCTACCCCTTACTCCCACAAGTTTTACACTCTTTAAAAAAAAGAAAGAAAAAACAGTTGAAAAAGAAAAAAAAGAAAGAAGTTTTCCCGTTTTGTTTTGTTTTTTTCCAGTGTGAACAGCGGGAGAAACACAAGTCAAAAACTGGCTCATTGCTACAGGTGGGTGTCTCCCGGATCGGATCCGGCGGTCTTCCTATTTCAAGTTTCACTCTTCTTCTGTCGGAAAACTGCTCTTCGTTCCAGCGGCCTCAGTTTCCCGTCCGTACAAGACGAAGGAGGAATGCTATCTCTGCAGCTCCCCCCAAAAAAAATTCTGGTTGGTTGGTTGGTCGGTTTGTTTTGGCACGACAGGAACTCAAAGGTCTCTCGCGCTTAGAGGAAAAGTTGTGGATGTTTCTGCAAAGAGGAGGGTCTCCTTTATGGGGGGCACAAGGGTGGGCTCAGCTCTCCCCCTTCCGCCCGGGAGACCCGCAGGACTCCTGCAGCCTAATCGCAGGCAAAATAATCTTTCAGGGGTGCAAAGAGGTGACGGATGACGGGGACGCTCCACGACCGTCCGAGCAGCTTCTGACGTGCCAGGCGGCCCATGTTGGACACATCGGTGTAATGGAGTGGGAAGCCGAAGATCCTGGTGGGAGTAAAGACCATTAGTAACCCCTATCTCTGCCGGATCTGTAAGGAGAGGCGTTAGGACCTCCCCACACACACACACCCTAAAAAAGATGATCAGGGGACTGGAGGCTAAAGCATATAAGGAACGGTTGCTGGAATTGGATATGTCTAGTTTAATGAAGAGAAGGACGAGGGGGGACATGATAGCAGTCTTCCAGTATCTCAGGGGCTGCCCCAAAGAAGAGGGAGTCAAGCTCTTCTCCAAAGTGCCTGAAGGCAGGACAAGAAGTGATGGATGGAAACTAACCAAGGAGAGAAGCAACTTGGAACTAAGTAGAAACTTCCTGACGGTTAGAACAATTAATCCGTGGAACAACCTGCCTCCAGAAGTGGTGAATGCTCCAACACTGGAAGTTTTTAAGAAGAAACTGGACAGCCATTTGCCCTAAATGGTATAGGGTTTTCTGCCTGAGGAGGGGGTTGGACTAGAGTTGAAGGGACCTTGGAGGTCTTCTAGTCCAACCCCCTGCTCAGGCAGAAACCCTATACCAATTCAGACAAATGGCTGTCCAGTCTCTTCTTAAAAACTTCCACTGTTGGAGCATTCTCAAAACCTCTCAAGAACGTGACAGAGGGAACAACAGCAGAAGGATGTTTTGCAAGGCGACAAAAGGATCGGACAATTGCAAAGTGGGTCTCGTGAAACCGGGCATCCCCAAACATGTTGGAAGAGAAGCAGGTTTACACAACTTTCCAATGAGCAGGACAACACCCAGGCCTGCCTGGAAACCTACAAACACCAACTCATCTGAGCAATTTTGGGGAAAAACTCAGCTTGTAGAACAAGGGTCTTCAAACTTGACCACTTTAAGACTTGTGGACTTCAACTCCCAGAATTCCTCAGCCAGCCCTCTTAAAGTGGCCAAGTTTGAAGACCCCGGTTGTGGAATAAATGCAGAACAATTCATCCATCCTCTTTGCCAAGGACAAGGCAGAAGCGTAAGGACCACCCTCGGCTTACGACCGGAACTGAGCCTGCCATTTCGGTCGTAAGTCGTGAGCATCACAAAGCAGGCCACCGTGGGACCATCCCTGATTTTGCAACTATTTTGGCAGGGGTTGTTGTGAATGCAGGTCATCCAAGAAACATTGCTGTTGTTAAGCAGGCTCTGGCTGGGGGATTCTGGGAGTTGAAGTCCACCCATCTTAAAAGTGTCCAAGGTTGAGAATTACGGGTCTAACTAGGCCTGCATCAAGGAGATTTTTCTTAAGAATTCTGGGAGCGGAAGCCCACCCCTCTTAAAGCCTGCTGGCTGGGGAATTCTGGGAGCGGAGGTCCCACCATCTACAAGTGGCCTTGGTTGAGAAAGGCTGCCCTAGGCCAGGGGTAGGCAACCTTGGCTCTTTCGTGACTCGTGGACTTCAACTCCCAGAATTCCTGAGCCAGACACGCTGAGGGGAAAGGGAGAAGTTTCCAAGCTGAGCCAGGCTGGCTCAGGAATTCTGGGAGTTGAAGTCCACAACTCATGAGGGGGCCATAGTTCCCCCATGCTGACTGAGGAATTCTGGGAGTTGAAGTCCATGAATCATGAGGGGGCCATAGTTCCCCCATGCTGGCTCAGGAATTCTGGGAGTTGAAGTCCACCAGTCATGAGGGGACCATAGTTCCCCCATGCTGGCTCAGGAATTCTGGGAGTTGAAGTCCACCAGTCATGAGGGGGCCATGGTTCCCCCCATGCTGGCTCAGGAATTCTGGGAGTTGGAGTCCACCAGTCATGAGGGGGCCGTAGTTCCCCCATGCTGGCTCAGGAATTCTGGGAGTTGAAGTCCACGAGTCATGAAGGGGCCATAGTTTTCCCCATGCTGGCTGAGGAATTCTGGGAGTTGAAGTCCACGAGTCCTAAAAGAGCCAAGGTTGCCTACCCCTGTCCTAGATTCTTCCCCAGGGGAGCCGTTCCAGCACTGGTTTTTCCATCGCTTCCTTCCCTTCCCCACCCCTCACCTTTCCAATTCTGTGCACCACAAATCGTCGTCCTTTCCATTCATGGAGACGGGCAGCATCTTGGCCTTCCCCTGCCGGATGGAGTTGGACTTGGTGGTGATCGTCCGGATCTTTTTCATCTGCAGAAGAGAAGCAGAGAGGAGGAGGAAGGAGGAGGAGGAAAAAAAACAGCTGCTTGCAGAACGATTGAGGTGCGAAGACATTGGCCCAGGGAGCACTCCTTATCTCTTTCTCTTTATTAAAAGTTTTATTAGTTTAACCCAAGGGTAGGCAATCTTGGCCCCCTCATGACTGGTGGACTTCAACTCCCAGGATTCCTGAGCCAGCGTGGCTCAGCTTGGAAACCTCTCCCTTTCCCCTCAGCATGGCTGGCTCAGGAATTCTGGGAGTTGAAGTCCACCAGTCATAAAAGAGCCCAGGTTGCCTATCTCTGCCCAAATGCCTGAATTTTGATCATGTGACCGTGAGGAAAAAATATTTAAATATTTAAACCAGGGATCTTCAAACTTGGCCCTTTGATGACTCATGCACTTCAACTCCCAGAATTCCTGAGCCAGCCTGGCTCAGCTTGGAAACCTCTCCCTTTCCCCTCAGCATGGCTAGCTCAGGAATTCTGGGAGTTGGAGTCCACCAGTCATGAGGGGGCCATAGTTCCCCCATGCTGGCTCAGGAATTCTGGGAGTTGAAGTTCACCAGTCATAAAAGAGCCAAGGTTGCCTGCCCCTGGTTTAACCGAATGTAAAATACAAAGAAAATGAAATTGAGGGGAAACGAGGGAAGGGAAAAGGAAAAAGTGTGGGGTGGAAGGGAAGAAAGGCATGGACTTCTAATAAAAGAGAATATTTGTAACTCAGGGTTGGCATGGGGGATTCTTGGTGCTCTCTGAGGTTGCTTGTTTTCTTGCAGACGTTTTGTGATCCAAACGAGGGAACTTCATCCGTGTTAGATGGGAGAAGGAGAAGGAGAAGGGGAAGAAGGAGAAGGAGAAAAAGAGAAGGAGGAGGACTACTATGGGGTCCTTGGTGCTCTCTGAGCTTGGTGGTTTTCTTGCAGACATTTCATGACCCGACTAGGGAACACCATCAGTGCTAGAAGGGAGCTGAAGGAGAAGGAGAAGAACGAGAAGGAGAAGGAGAAAAAGAGGAGGAGGAATTCAGTGAATCCGGTTTTCCCCCCATGGACTTTGCTTGCCAGAAGGTTGCAAAAGGGGATCACATGACACCCCCCCCAGGAGACTGCGACGGTCATAAATAGGAGTCAGTTGCCAAGCGTCCGGATTTTGATCACGTGAACCATGGGGATGGGCAACAGATGTTAAGTGTGAACAACGGTCGTA